GCCTCTCAGCTCAAAAGCTTCCATTTCATGCTAAAAGAACATCCCTAAATTTTTATCAAACAATATTAAGATATTAAGAAGTCGCTACTGAACGATTCTTAAATCAAAATTTCAATTTTCCTTAATATATGTTTGATTTAATGCAAAAATGGCTTAATCCGGATTTTAAATAGTAGTACTGTATATTTTTTTGATCGCTGAACATGATATAATAATTCATTTAACCCTACGATATGCGCCTTAAGAAATACAGCCCGAAAATTAATGCGAAAAAATGACCAAATTTCGAGTTCAAAGTCGATTTTAGTCGATTTTCCAAGCGTCCAAATGAGTCGTTACTTCCCTCAAATTGTAGGTCTGTTTAGAACAAGATCCAGTTGGAATTTTCCCGGAATCTCTTACAGAACCTTTAAAAGTTGCATTTAATTGGATTATAAAACGTTTTTAAGGATAGAAAAATTTTTTTAGAAGTTTTAAAGTATATCGCTTTGTAATTTTGACATCCTCAAATCAAATGCCTCAATTTGGCAATAAAAAACTTAATTAGAAAATAAAATGAGTACATAATACAAAAAAATATGATTTAACTAATGTATATCTAAAAATTGCAAAAAAATAGTCTATAAAAGATACTTAAAAATTTATTTATGAAATTTAGTGTTTATATATTACTAAAATAAATCTTTATTTAAGTATGGCGAAATAAAATTGTATTCCTAACAAATGAATCATTTATTTTTTTATTTTTTACAATTAATGAGATATATTTCATAGACATGTATGTATATTACGTCATCACAGTCAAATTTTTTTTATCACCAATAAATATTAAAGAGAACGTCACATGTAACATTTGCTTGTGAATACTCCGACTTTTTTCTCTCAGTATACGTATACTGACGGAAAGTTTGGCAATATAATCGCTGATTTTAATAAAATTTTAGATAGTGCGCTCATAAAAATACTATAATAAAACTGCAGGACCCTATTTAGCCATTCTCGAAAAATAGCAATAAAATGTTTTCTAGTACCTTTAACGGAAGAGAATTTTCTTTTAAGCAAAAAGTCGAAATATTCGCAAGCAAATGTTACATATGACATTAGCTTTAATATTTATTGTTATAAAAAAATTTGTGATGACAAAAAAATGCGTTTCTCTGAAATATATCTCATTAATTAAAATAAATAAATAAATAAAATAAATAAATAAATAAATAAATAAATGATTTATTTGTAAGGAATAAAACTTTATTTTGCCGTATTTAAATAAAGATTTATTTCAGTAAAATAAACACAAGTATTCCACAAATAATATTTTAAGTTTATTTATTTCTCAGTAAAAGAAACACAATTATAAAATGCCATTATTCTATCACGAGTTTATTTCTTCACATAAGAATGTGATTTTTTTTGTACAGGTGCAGCTGCTGTAGTAACGTCCGCAGGCGGGCACGGCTTCGACGCGCACCTACGTGGCCCCAGCTTCGTGCTGGAACCGCCGTCGAGGATTGAATTCTCCAATTCCAGCGGCGCCTGGTTGGACTGCACGGCCTCCGGAAGTCCACCGCCCAACATCGACTGGTCCACCGCGGACGGGCATCCGGTGAACGATGTGTCGGGCGTGCGAAGAGTGCTCAGAAATGGCACTCTGGTACTCCTGCCGTTTCCGGCCGCGGCCTATCGGCAAGACGTTCACAGTGCCGCGTATAGATGCGTGGCGAGCAACACCGTCGGCAGAGTACTCAGTCGCGATGTACAAGTCAGAGCAGGTAAGCGAGATTCGTATGCGAAATTTATGTGTTATGAAAAGCAAAATACATATTCCCTGGTAGAAATGTATGCAGTTTTCCTAGATACCCATCCAATTATATTGTCTAATCTTACTGTATTCTCATTAGTTGTGACAATACTGCATAGAAAGTTGACAAAATTTATTCAGAGCTATAGAGATATTATAAAGATTTATTCAGTAGCTGAAGCAATTTTCCTGATAAAAATATGTACAATTTGCGTGGATACCTGTACCAATTATTGTCTAGTATTATTAGATTATTATTAGTTAAAATACCACGTAATGTAATATTTATTATTCTGTTCAATAAATAGGTTCAGAGTTTGCGCATTGTTTCTGCACAATAATTATAGACAAAGTGTTACATTTTGATTAGAATTCTAAGTTTTTTATTTTTCGATTAAAGTTTCGATTTCTCGAAAAGTTGTAAACTATCCAATAATTACTCAAAAAATGTACGCTACTAAGATTAGAAAGGAAACATTTTCAAATTCTAACTATAAAATAGCAAAAATGTATGCAGTTATAAAACTTATAATATATTATAACTTACAACATAATTACGTACAACATAATTTAGAATACATTGAATAAAGTTTAAATGTCACAAAGGGAAAGTTAAAATAAAATTGATAACTTTGTGAAGCAAATTGCTCTGTCGAATCCTTTTTAATTTACCTATTTGTTGTGCAAGTCCTATTATCATCAAAAAAACTCGCAAACGTTTTATCGCGTTATATACCTCTCGTGCAATTACATCCGTTATTTACTGAAGTATCCTTTAATTAAGGAATGGCAAGCGCGTAATCGGGACGGCTGTCATATTAGAGCTTTACTCGCGGCCACCGCGCACACTGGACCATTGGAAAAGTCTATTAAGCGGATTACGCGAATGCCGCGGATATTTGGCGCGAGTCAACAGTAATTGCGACGGGTGTATGGGTTGCCTCTTGCGTGCGATAAAACGCGGAATCGCGGATAGGCCGGTTTTACACGAACTATATAATCGCACGGCGAATCCTTGCATAGCATTGTGTCCGAATGCAATTCGGGGAACCACAAACCTCGCATTGGCTTTGTATAAAGGAATTTGGTTGCACATGGGACATGTCTCTATTTAGTTAAGAAATATTTGGCGGTTAAAATAACAGCACGTTAAATATGTAGATAAAGAAATAGTTCTGATAGTCTGTTCTTATAATTAAATACATATTAGATGTATTTTGCATCTCTTGTTCAAAGAAATGTTCAAAAGTGCGGCTTGGTTTCTCTACTCAATTATTTTGTATTCTTTGAAACATTATATTATTATATACACAAAATTAATTATATACACAAAATTAATTATATACACAAATTATCACAAATTTATCAAAAATTATCTTAAGATTGGGTTATTATCATGTAACAGTTATAATAATAGAAACAATGTTTCCTGTAACCTATATCATACTATAAAAAACTATTTTTATACCATAAGAAATATTCCTTTTAAACGTATACGCAATTTAATTGTTCGTATGGAAAGAAAATGCCGATTGCGAGAGAAAATCAGTGTGAAACAGGCGTTAGAACCGAATCAGTGCTTGCCGAGCACTGATGCAGATGAGATGCGCGTAGGTTCCTTTCTGGTCGCGCAGTGTAATTACCTCTTAAAAAAAAACGCAATCTGAATGCAAATCCATGGCAGCTGCGAGGTCGACCCGACGCTTTCAGGATTTCCAACTACTAACCCCCTCGCGGCCATAAAGTTCTGCCCTGGACGTGTGACCGTTAATTAAAACTTTACTTTCAGTTCTCTCTCTCTCTCTCTCTCTCTCTCTCTCTCTCTCTCTCTCTCTCTCTCTCTTTCT